ACACACACACACACACACACACACACACACACACACACACATACATACATACACACACACACACACACACGCGCGCGGCGCGCGCTGTGAACTGTTCTCCAGTTGACTTAAGTTCATATTATTATCCTTATCAAAACCAAACATCTCCCGTTTCTTGCAATGTAGACCCCTCATGCTGATATGGTTCATTCAAAATACTGTCTTTCTGTGATGTCGGTACCCTTGCGATGTCGTTAGCCTTGTGGTTGGACTACTGGACCCGTTTAAGGTTGGGGTTTCAGGGATCCGAGCCTCAGCTATGTGCGAGGTTATGTTCTTGGGGAAAGACGCGTTACAAGAATGCTCCCCATTTGAATTCAGAGATCCCACCTTTAAGTGATGTTACAGTTTGCAAGGGGACTTAAACCTATACAGTTTTGTAGTGTTGTACTTGGGGGGGGGGGGTCCATCGTTTCTAGAGAAAGTTTTTACGTGCTTCAAACTTGGCAAGATCTCAGAGAAAAGTGCGTCAAAACGGAAGCCTGGTGTCTTTAAAATCCTTACATGGTTGAACGTAGTTAACCCATGCGATGCGATACCACACTTCAATTAAAATGATTTCTTATAAGCACTACCTTTTACTTCACAACAAATCACTGACCCAATATTTCTACTATTTTTCCTCCACAGGCAACCCATGCGAAGCCTCGAAGCCATTTTTATGTCGCGATAGCCCGAAGTGTGTGGCCCTCAAATATGTGTGCGACGGAACTTGGGACTGTGAAGGCGGTTTCGACGAGGATCCAGCTGTCTGTAACGCAGGTGAGCAGCAGAAACTGTTTGAGGCTTATATGTGAGGCATAGTGATGAAATCAGGCACTCGTCAAAGTAATGAAATCGAGGAAACCGGCTTTTTTTCTGCAAGTTTTGAGAAATTGTATCGAATTTTTGTCTTTTCCCTCAACACTTTTTATGTCTATGTAAAAATACATTTCTGTGTGGATTGGACTTAAAAACATTGATTAAAGGCACATAAAATATAAATTTGCAGTTTCTAAGGACTCGAAAGCTTTGGAGGTCACCAAACCCTGGCGGCCTTTTTCTCATTAATTTTGCCTGTGAAAACAGGCGAACCCCACCTCTTTCAATCGCAAATATGTCGACATCTATTTAAGAGTGATGGGTAGTTTTCATCGATAGCAAAAGAAATAAACAAGCTTTTAAGTGAAACCAATATAACACCACGTGCCCAAAAATTGACGAGCGCCTGATTCCACTGTGTCGTAACACATATTTTGTATCTAGATCTATCTCAGTTGCCGGGGTGTTGTATAATGTAGAAATGTCCATTCGTGTGTATATTATGTTTTCTGTGTGCATTTGCGTGTTGTTGTTGATGCTGCTCTTGTTATTGCTGAGTTTGTGTAAAAATGTACGTTTGTTTATTCATTAGTGGGGCGTATCAAAAGTGTTTGTTTGCTTTTTCGTGTGTGTTGTCGTTTGTTTAGGACACGTAGGTTTTGTTTTTGTGTACGGGAGAATGTGTGCAAGTGTGTTGGCATGTGTGTGAGTGTACATGTATGTGTGCGTTTGTGTGTGTTTGAGTGTGTGTGTGTGCGTGTGTGTGTGTGTGTGTGTGTGTGTGTGTGTGTGTGTGTGTGTGTGTGTGTGTTAATGCACGTGCAGCACAATAAGGTACAAAAAGCGCCAAGGATTAGAAGTGTTATACGAGAGTAATAAACACAAAATAGAAGGAGAGGTAAGGAGGATAGAAATGTTACATGAGAATAACAAAAATATAATAGAAGGAAGAGGGATAAGGACAATAGATGTATAATTGGGAAAGAAGGAGCAAACCACATCCGAGCACCCACCAACCACCCACAACACTAACAGATCAGGAACACGGATAACGATAAGCAAGAATGAGCATCCAGTTGATTCCAACTACTAAGACTCCGTTAAGTCCAAGGAGGCGATAAGATAGGTCTTTTTCTCGGGTCTCTTTTATCTGATGACCCGGCTAAGCCTGATAGAAACCGTCTTTTCTGACCGACTTCATTGAAACTTGTAGTGCGTGTGTATGTGTATGTGTATGGGTGTGTGGGAAGAGGGGATTGAACGTGTGTGTGTGTGTGTGTG